TTTCCCCCACTCGTACCTTTCACTTCTAACCATGACTCTATGATACATAGGTTGAAGATCCAAGTGAACCCCTTTGGCTACATGCAGGTCGGACATCCCATCGGCAAACTTTGTACTTCCAAAACGGGAGCAGGAAAACGAAGTCACATCATGGTAAGCTCGTTTCACCTCCAGGTTGGGACCAAACGAAACCACCAGGGGACCACTGATGTTAGTCCATGCTTCCATGTACCAGGGTTCCATTTGGGGTACACTTGTTTTTAACCCACAGCCAGGTGGCCTCATCCCCCGTCGTTTTCAGGGAAGTCGCCCTAAGATCGGTAGATGAATACCCCTCGAGACCCAATGGCCTGGCAGAGGGCAGCAAGGATCTCGAAGGAAGGGCACAATGACCTCGAGGTCCTGAGGTCTCATACAAATGTATGTATGTATGCAGGCATGTATGGATGTATGTATGCATGCATGTATGCATGCATGTATGTGTTTGCATGCATGGATGTATGTATGAGTATGCATGCATGCATGTATGTATGCATGCATGCATGGATGGATGCATGCATGCATGGATGTATGTATGCATGCATGCATGTATGCATGCATGCATGTATGGATGTATGTATGGATCTATGTATGTATGCATGTATGTATGTATGTATGTATGTATGTATGTATGTATGCATGCATGCATGCATGTATATACATACATGGTAAATAATTGTATACATGTATATGGTATATACTGTATATACTGTATATACTGTATATATATATAGCATAACCACAAAGATTGTGCGCGATTGTGGCCTGACGCTGACCATGGATTGATAAACGTGTTGCGGATCACTGCTTCAAGGCCAATCAAATCAACACCCAGCCATGGGGCTCCCATTCAAAGACCAAACACTGCAAAGACCAAATGTCCAAATGTTCATTTTCAACATTGCAAAGACCAAACAAACACACATGCTCAGCGCATACAGAGGCGCTTGCACCCAAGACTCACCTGTCCTTCTTGGCCCCTTCTGGGCAAGAGGACTTAAAATGGCAACAGCAGTTCTTTGTTTTGAGCCCAACAGGGCCCTGGTGAAGTGCAGGGATTTTCTCTTGAGGGGGGGCTGGCCTCCAAGGTCCTTAAGAAAGAAGCATTTTGGGAGAAGCACTTGCCGGAAAACTTCAGGGGTTCAATAGTGGCTTCGGGCCTGGTGAAGCGCAGACTAACCACTAAGCAAACAGGACAGCCCCCCCCCTTTTCTGGCAGCTATTTAGCTTGGGGGCTGCAGGGTGTAAAATTCATCCGGGCGGGGGGGGGGGGGGTGTTGGGGAGGCCAAAAACATGATTGAGTATGTTTTGTTGGGAAAACCTAGTTGGTCGGAATCTGGGAGGCAAAAGGAGAAACCTTTAATCGGGGTTTTACTAATCATGCACTAACATTGTCAGAGAATTCTTTGGGATTGCCACTATCTTTTCCTTTCAAGAGGTGCATGCCGCTTTGACAGCGACAGCAACAGCGTTTTCCAACATGGGTGCCTCGTGTTTTCGCGAGGTCAAGGGTTGCTGTTTCTGAGTCTTACTTGCCAGTGGCCATGGGGAAAGCAAGATCCGTTGTCTCATTTAATCAATGCACCCTCTTTCCAACTATAACGGAAGCAAACATGGAAGCTGTCCCAAAAGAACAATTGCATAACTTTCCACGGCTCTCCTCGCAGCTTCGCAGAATATTGGAGGGCAGGGAATTAAGTGTCTTGCCAAAAATAGCCCAACAATTCAGCATGGATCTACCAGGCAAGTGGCAAGCTTGGATCGTGTTCGGCTTGCGGCTTTGGACACAAATCCGTTTGGCTGACGACCCACTAGATCCCCAACTCGGAAGCTGGAAGCCTCAAGCCAAAGTCTTTCCATGCCCAGTCTGCATGGGGTACTGTCGCGGCCTGGATCCCCTTCCTTGCCATGGAACCAGTGTCTGCTTGTGAGTGTGCTTGTTTTGCGGGGGCCCTTGCTAAGCTTGAGTTGACAGGCCAAAAGGAAAGAACAACCTCATTTTTTTGGGCATCCCACTTTGATTCCTTTGTGAATATAAACATATTTGGGAATTATGTGTTTTCAAACCTGGGCTCTCCTCAGATCTGTTGAATGGGGATAAATGGAAAACCAAATAAATGTGAAAAGTTACCCTTGGTCATTTGGGGGCCCTACATGGAATATGGATCCATCCCCATGGAAGCCTTCGGTTTCAGGGCTATGGGAAATGATCACATCTGTGATACACAGAAAGGGCTTCCCAAAACCCGCCCCCCCAATGACAGGAGATTTGGTTGCTTAAACCCTGAGTGATCGGGACCACCCTGCGACAAACCTCTTCCAGATTCAGTTGCGGGGCCAAAGGCCCTCCAACTCTGGACTCTACGTGACTTATGGAGTCTGAGTCTTCGAGTGATCTGTTTAACATTCTAGTTCACTCACACGCCTTACCCGTGTTGATGCTGGCGTCCCAAACGGTTACCCTTGTCCATCAGCCACACTCTTTTCTCTTTCCTTGAAATTCAATCACTGGGCGCAACCATGTTCAATTCTCGCAGCCGGAAACCAGAAAAGGATGTTCCACAACCAGAGTTTTCGGTTCCTTCCACAAAACAAAAGGAAGCAACCCACTGGGCAACTGGGTTGGAGAGAAACCCCGAGTGATCAAGTGATCAACCACAACCCTCTTCGGTTTCCTCCATTTGCGTTTTCGTCCCCTGGAAATATCTATATATATATATTTATTTATTTCGGTAGTGAAATCGATTCCCTTTGAAACCAACAGGGGAAAATCAAAGACCATTGTTTAAGCCAATGGAAGGTTTTCCAAATGCAAGGTGCAATTCGCGGGAATACTCCCGTAGAACTTTAAGCCAATGGACGCTTTCTATTTCTATTTTCTCCACCAAAAAGGACACCTATGTCCTTCCCTTGAACAGGGGAAAATAAACAAATATTGTTTAAGCCAATGAAAGCTTCAAGCACCTCCTGGGTATGGCTCAAAATTCAACAGGAGGGGTTACGCAGGTATTGGTCCATGTTTCCACTTACCAGGATTCCATTTTGGTACCAGTTTTTTGAGCCATACCCTCCTCCCCCCGCTCAAATCGCTCGCTCGAATCGCCCGCCGCGGCGCCGCGGCGCTTCGCTTCTCGGCGCCGACGCTCCGCAGCGCCGCCGCGAGGCCGCGGCCCAGCTGAGCCGCTGCGCGGCTGCCTGGCCGAGTGTCGAGGCGGATCCACCGAGCGGCTGCCCGGTGAGGAAGGTATGCTACCTATGTATATATATATATATATATACACATCCATCCGTCTATCTATTGTTTATATGTATATGTATATATATATATATATATGTATCTATCTGTCTGTCTGTCTGTCTGTCTGTCTGTCTGTCTGTCTGTCTGTCTGTCTGTCTGTCTGTCTGTCTGTCTGTCTGTCTGTCTGTCTGTCTGTCTGTCTGTCTGTCTGTCTGTCTGTCTGTCTGTCTGTCTGTCTGTCTGTGTGTCTGTGTGTCTGTGTGTCTGTGTGTCTGTGTGTCTGTGTGTCTGTGTGTCTGTGTGTCTGTGTGTCTGTGTGTCTGTGTGTCTGTGTGTCTGTGTGTCTGTGTGTCTGTGTGTCTGTGTGTCTGTGTGTCTGTGTGTGTGTGTGTGTCTGTGTGTCTGTGTGTCTGTGTGTCTGTGTGTCTGTGTGTCTGTGTGTCTGTGTGTCTGTGTGTCTGTGTGTCTGTGTGTCTGTGTGTCTGTGTCTGTGTGTCTGTGTGTCTGTGTGTCTGTGTGTCTGTGTGTCTGTGTGTCTGTGTGTCTGTGTGTCTGTGTGTCTCTGTGTCTGTCTGTGTCTGTCTGTGTCTGTCTGTGTCTGTCTGTGTCTGTCTGTGTCTGTCTGTGTCTGTCTGTGTCTGTCTGTCTGTGTCTGTCTGTGTCTGTCTGTGTCTGTCTGTGTCTGTCTGTGTCTGTCTGTGTCTGTCTGTGTCTGTCTGTCTGTCTGTCTGTGTCTGTCTGTGTCTGTCTGTGTCTGTCTGTGTCTGTCTGTCTGTCTGTCTGTCTGTCTGTCTGTCTGTCTGTCTGTCTGTCTGTCTGTCTGTCTGTCTGTCTGTCTGTCTGTCTGTCTGTCTGTCTGTCTGTCTGTCTGTCTGTCTGTCTGTCTGTCTGTCTGTCTGTCTGTCTGTCTGTCTGTCTGTCTGTCTGTCTGTCTGTCTGTCTGTCTGTCTGTCTGTCTGTCTGTCTGTCTGTCTGTCTGTCTGTCTGTCTGTCTGTCTCTGTGTTTTACATTCGATGATGGGGTTCACCAGTGGGTCCCAATAGAACTTGGTCAAGCTTGACGCTTGCTTAATGGTGGAGTGGTCGCTTGGTGTTGCTGGCTAAGCTTTGAATTTGCTGAGTTGAAGGGACAAGGGGAAAGCATTGTGAGTCTGTTGGTTGGCTGGATTGACAAGTGGTTTCCCGCGCAAACCGTTGGTTCAGAACATAAGGAACACATAATTGACCAATCCAGTCTGTTAGTATGGTGAGGATGGGCGAGTTCAGGTGGTAAGCGACCCTGGTTACTACGGTTGAGGGCTCACTGGGGCCAAAGCTATCCGATCCAACTCAGAGAGTTGTGAATGTCGTGGTAAGGAGGAGTTCAGGGGTCGGTTCCCTGATGGTAAGCTCCTTATGATGGTAAGCTTGAACATGCAAAAGCCATGGACATTGGTGAAAGGAACACCCACTCCCAAATGTCAAGCAAGCCACCCAGGACCCCAAAGATCCCCAGTTGCCTCAGTAGCTCCTTACTTGAGATGCCCAAACAAGTCTAAACGTTGTCATGTCGCGCTAAAATGACCTGACCTCCAAACCCCGAAAAACAACAAGACAACTTGAACGCTCAAACCCAAAACAACTAAACCCCAAAAACGACAATCGAAAATAGAAAATGGCCCCACAGCCACCAAAACACGTCTCCAAGGCTCCGGGAGCTCCCCCGACTCGGACTGTCGCTCG